ATATTAATCATTAGGTATGGAATTCTTTGATAAACAGTGGCAGCTGGCAGTATTTTATTCTCTATCAGAATGCAATGCCTGCTTTGTTGAGCTGTAAATTAATAGTGTAAGCTTCTTCCCCACCCTCAGCCTCATCATTCTGAGCTGTGAATCACTGGTACTACCAAATTTGTTTTCTTTAGGAGAGCTAAGAGGCACCACAGAAAATCCATCTGTTTCATTCCAGGTCACATTCCACTGGATTGATTTGGTTGATTTCAGCTTGAAAATGTGCTTCAAGGCAACTAATGATCTTCTGTGGCAATTCTTTTTTCTTAACTTTTAAATTTGAATTACCAGTGTATGCATAAAACATCTTTCTTCTGTTTCTTTGAGCTCCTAATGTAATCATAAAGTATTTTCCAAAACGTGATGATTCAGGAAGGTAAACTAAAAACTTTCTACATAGAAAGTGGAAAAGAGTGCTGCATGCAGAATGTCAGGTTAACTAGGAATATAGTTTGCACTGGCCATGAAAGAAACCCTGAATGGTAACCTGTTGAATGCCACTGGCTAGAGTCCTCAAGCTGCCGTGAGCAGGACACTGTGCCCTTGCCACAATTGTTTCTGTGAATGCAGTCAAACCGTGCAAGTGCAGAATGATTTCCAGGTCAGAACAGGTTGATGAATTTTGTGAGGCGCCATCACAAACTGCTGGAGCTGAACGCTGCTGCTAGGCTGTGAGTGTTCTCCCACTAATTGTGTTATGGGAGTGGAAGGAGTTTGGTCCTTTATGGGAACAGCAGGATCTGTTAAATGTAATGAGACACTAATCAAGATAAGGCTTGTACTCTGTCAGGTGCTGTATAACCATGCAAGGAGGTAAGGTCACAACTCTGGAAAATTTACTGTGTAGGAAAGTGTTATGATTAAGATGAATTAAATTAAGTACCCTTCAAAATGTTCTCAGGGTTATTCTTAAAGCGAAAGGTCCTTTTCCACAGTCCTTATGCCCAGGCAAATGCCTGAGAAGAAGCCGGTGCTTGAGAATTATTGTTTTGTCTGACATGTAGCAATGAGCCTAAAAATCGAACACAAGCATCTTTCCGTGTTGAGAGAGGTTTGGTTCTGAATTTAGATCAGTTATTCTTATCTAGTCCTTCTGGCTCAAAAAAACGGAAATGAGGCTATGTCAGGACACCTTCCTGCTATTGCCCGAATTTCAAGGAAATACATGTCTGGAACCCTATTTTAAAGAGAAAGCACAAAAATATTCCAGTGGTCTACGATGTGTTTTATATTTTCTTTGAGTTTTTCTCTATCAATCGTGGAAGTACCAAAGCTATGCCCATCAGCAGTTGTAGGCAACCTGTATTTGGTATTAATTCCCCCTAACTGGTATATTTGTGTTCCTTTTCACCCACACATGGGGCCTCTGTTGTCATTCTAGGGACTGTGTTTCCTGGCACGTTTTTAGAGGCCAAGTCTTAGAGGTCTTTAGACACTGTTATAAGCAATGTTAGTCATGCGGAATACAAAAAACCCCACCTCAGCCATTTTCTCAAAACAGTCTGGTGTGGCACTTTACAAATCTATAGGAGAGGTCAAACTCCACTTTGCACTGTGCACTGGAGGATAAAAGTAAAGCTGTGTAATGACTTGGAGAAGAAGACCCAAGGACGGTGAGACTTTGCACAAAGATCTAGGGAAGAAAAATAATTTACAGTTAACTGTTAATTGTAGTTGACTTGTAGCTAATATTAAGGATTTTATTGTCTATGTTACTCCAGGGAAATACAACTCCATACCTATAGCTGATGCTGCTGTCTCCTCCATGTTTTTCTACACTGTTCCAGTCCTTCAGTTTTTCTTTTCTTCCTCCCACCTTCCCTCCTCAGATGCTTCACTAGCTTTCTCATTGATTTCTTGAAAACAAATGGTAGTGAAATAGTTAACTTCGGTAGCAAAGTACCTTTATTTTAGACTGGGTACCTTCCCCTCCTAATAGTTGTTTGAAAGCAATGCTCCATATCATTATTATATCAAAGAATTTGGCCCTGAGCTTCATGGAGACTAGCAGGGGGCTTTGTACTTCACACCTCTATGCCCTGGGGGTTTCTGAGCACCTTGGGCTTCAGGAAGATGGTGTAGCATTATTTTGCCTCTGCTTTGCAATTTCAAGATTCTCTTTACAGCCCTGAGAACTCTAAGCTCTTGTTTTGGAGACCATGAGATGATGGGGTGTGTAGTTACCTTGTGGGTATATTTATCGTGGCAGGACTTCTGCTTCTGATGTATATCTGGAAGTGGCATCATGGGTGCTTCCTGCAGAAAAGATTTTGGCACCGGTACTGCAGTCTGGTAACATGCCAAGGACCAGCTCCTTGCCTGATGTAATTTGATAGGGCAGTCAGAAGAGCTAAATCCAACTGGCACCTTGACCAACAGTGTGTGCAAAATTTTGTTTTCAGGTGCCATTAGTGGGAGCGCAAGGAGTATAAATTTTGAGATGTGGAAAGAAGCTGGGGAGTGAAAAGTGACACTCTTTGATTGTTTAACTTCACAGTACATGGGTGGAACATATGGGTGAAGAGGGCAAGTCTGATAGCTGTGACTCTTGTTTCTGAATGGCAGTACAGTAATTCCCTAGTTCTGAGTATGGGGTAGAAGAAATCTGGTTTAGTTTATTAGCTTCTACCGTCATTCCTGCTGAAAGTTTGTCCATGTGAAGCTTGTTTAGAAACGCTGTAATGAAATCAGGTGTGTAAATCCCATTTTGAGTGTGTGTGCATTTTTGCACATAAAATCCGGGAACTGAAGTGTGATTGGGGTGGGTGGAGAAGTAAAACATTTCTTACTTCTGGGAAGTTGTCAGCAGTAATTGACCTCTTTTTGTGAGGGACTTCAGAAACAGAACTTCAAAATTAGAGTCTAATGCTTGTTTCTCAGTATAAAAAAAGGTCTTTTTCTTGAATAGGCCATCTTATACTTTATGAGTGGTGCCAAATTTGCTCAATTACTAAACTGATTATTAAGCAACACTGACAATGCTTTCACTTATTATCCCAGTACAATTATACTTCTACTAGATGTTGTACCAAAAAAGCTCCTGATGATTTTCTGTTTACACAAGGCAAATAGTGCTGCAGACCCTAATTAGGGTTTGGGAATAAAGTCAAAACTCTGCATGTGTTTTAAACTTCTCTTGTAGAACAACAATAATACAGAATGGCTGCCCATCTTTTTGTAATACATAAGAGACTAAAAATATGCTCTGCATGTACATAGTAGGAAAGGACTGTGGCATAACATTTTCAAAGCTTGTTCTTTTCTTGGTCTGCTTTTAACTGAAGTTATGCAGTTTCTTCAAAACCCAAGAATTACAAATGAATCTGCAATACTTTGTGACTCCTTGTCCTTTCCTTCAGACAAAAGGCCCTTTCAATCCATTGTGGAACAGTCACTGATTTTCATGTGGTCATTCAGGAAAAGGATAGCGATTGGCCTTCATAATAGGCCTTTCAGTACTCTCTCTAGTGGTTTGCTGACTGAAAAAAAAATGCCTATGGCTGTGTACTGTGTCCAGTGTTTAAATTACTGACGAATGTATCTCCCAAGTGTTGGAAAGGCAAGAGTTCAAATGGCAGAGAAGCCTCACCTGTTTGTGAATACTGGCGTGCTGCTGCTCAGGGCTGGGGACAGATTTTGGCCTGTGTGAACTGGTACAGTTTTATTGAATTTTCTTTGAAGGTCTGTTCTATTTCTTTTTTTTCTTTTTTTTTTTTAAGTGGTAACTTAAGCCTGTGCTTCTAAGAGGGC